CCCCCAAAACTGAAAACTAATCATCATTATAGCTTATTGAACGACAAAGAGTCAGAAGTTACACGTCTATTTCTTCAAGGCGATGATTCTCATGATACTCAGAAAATCAATATTCCCTTGTATGTCATTGAACAACTTTAAGAATATTTTGAAGAACAATAGATCTCTAATCTCCAGGATCTCGAGAGCTCAGAACAGACGTTCCTTCGGAAGGTTTCTTCTGTCATGTCAAGGAGACCCCCATCTATAATAATTTCAATGCATTACACGCAAAGGCTTGCGCGGGACTACATGCATTAGCGCAATGGCCTGAAGCCTGTAGCTAGCTGTCTGTCTGTATGTGAGTTGTAGCTGAAGAGCGTACTACTCGAGCCTGCTTCCTCACCCGACACTTGTCTTCCCCCATAAAGCAGCACCTCCTCATGGATTACGCAGGAGACTTCCCACAATCCTCTCTTACTCATCCCTCTTCTGTAACGACGAGCATTGCTAGGAAGAGACAAGAGAAGAGGGCCACTATCTCTCTCTCTCTCTCTCTCTCTCTCTCTCTCTCTCTCCTCCCTCTTCAGTAATTTATGCTCTTGCGAAATAGATTAATCACGTGCCAGTGATAAAAAGAAAAGACAACTGCTAGGGGAATATCTTACTAATTTCTTTGTGGGGTGAAGCAGAGATTTCTTTCTCCAAAATTTTAATAAAATATATAACGTATACACTTGTACCGTAATAATGGAGTGTAGCTATGGGTAAGGTATATTTAAACTGCATTATTTTGAATGTACATGTTTGCTGTATGTTACAGGTAATTTCCTGGCATCTAAGAAAAGAGCTTCACCGTATTACGCAAACAGATTTTACATTTTTTTATACTCTATTTGATTTGTACGGTATTTTGGACACCTGTACCTGGTGGAAGAATAATGCAATGTTTAGCTTTAAGAAATGTAGGACAAGATAAGTATTTTTCACTTTGATTAGTTTATAATTGATATCCAGGCCACTGAAATATCGACACACATTATTAATAAATTATCCAGACAGGGAAAGATTTATTTCATGGATAAAAGTGTCAATGTGTTAATGTCATGTACACAATTATGTGTCAGTGTATTCATGAACATACACAAACATACAAAGTATAGTTTTGTGCCACACATGAATATAAGGGTGTGGGGCTATACAGTACTTATTCTGGCACAGTTCATAGAGAGGGATATCGGCTTGTAAGTCCAGTATTACAGAGCCATGACTGTAGAGAACTCTGCTTCTAATACAATTTCCCCGTAGGTCAACTGCGCACAAGAAATCTGGCATTTCTTGCCATTTGTAAAGGCTCCGTAATAGACAGAAAGGTCAACACAATAGGATGGGAGACTCACTATCCATCAAGAAATGATGAGCAAAGAGGCAAGGGAGTGGGTTATGCAGAGGGAGAGGGGCTGTGGAGAGGGGCTGTGGAGAGGGGCTGTGCAGGGGTAAGCCACTGCCCATCATATGCAACAAACGACAGAGGCCAGTCAGGAAACCACTGCTTGATTGCATGATCCCGCGGCGCTCGTCTCTTTCACTCTCCTTCACGGTCTTCCTAACGAAGAAGGGATCGTGGGGAGCAAATTGGCTTAAGGTACGGCGATGACTCGCAAGGGCTCCGCAGATCCGATGGCAGGTCGAGATTAAGGGCTCCGTGTTCTGGCCTGGCTTGTGTTATAGCGCTTCAACGAGGAGGGATGCTGGCCAGAAAAATTCGAGCCAGACAAAAATACACTTGGCTATCACGTCATGCAATGACCAACTTCCTTAGTTTGCAGCCTCGCGTTGTGGGAGAGAGAGAGATCTAGCCGGCAAGCAAGCTACCCACGTGTGCTCATGTGTCACAACCTAAACACACGCAGGCATTTCCTTTCTCCTACATCAAACTCAGGCCAATTCCTGCTCACAAACTATTTCATTTCTGCATAGAAGACCTTGTTTCAATACAAAGCTGAATCACCCATACACAAATTGAATCAATTTGAATACAATAAAAATCATCCCAATATGTAACCAAACATACATTGTTTGTGATTTGCGATCATTACTTTAACCAAATTTTCAAAATATAAATATATTAATTATTCCTGTGAATATTACACCCAAGATAACACATGCTTGAGTATACGGAAAGTGTGGATCACACCAAAATAAACTTGTATCCAATCACTTAAAATTTCCTTAAAAAACTTAGTTTCTGGGACACACATGACCTATATTTTGGGGATGGACACATCATCAGGATACATTAAGATTCAAAATAGCATGAAACTAATTCTATCTTACTATTCATCTCCTGTGGAAATCTTGACTAAAGCAAGAGTTCAGTAAGTGTGAGGGCTCACAGGAAAAGTGTGATAAAACAAGAGTGTTATCTAACCATGGGCGCAGCCTGATTTCATCTCCTAACAGAAATACAAACCATCCTGACCAAAAATATCCTTGCCAAAAGAGCCATATGAGCACAGCCCCTAATCGCCACACATCCTTTCCCCATACACTCAGACAATACGATTTGGAGCTTTGTGCCAAAATCTGATTACTCGCCATTCTCCCCCTGCAAAGCCTATCATCTCTCCTCCTATCTGCCATGGGGCACGCACCATGGGTATTTCCATAGTGTCTTTCCGCGGCTGGGGCTAGTCTAATTAGAATCAGGGATGCTTTGGTTCTAATTCTCTCTATTCAAGACCTTGTGGACTTATTTCTACAATCTCACACTCCTTTCGCCCTTACTTCCCATTCCAAACTCCCTCAAATAGTGATTCACAGGTTTTCTCTCTCTCTCTCTCTCTCCTTTCCCCTCTAGCCTGATAAGAAGCAGGAAAAGAATCGCAATCTGGCGCCCTCCCACTACATGCCAGCTAGGAGTCCGCCAACGGAGCACCCTACCTACGCGATGAGAAGGTGATTAGGCCTAGAGCCATCACCTTTGATTAGTCCCTGCTAATTAAGTCTTAATCAACTCTCTTTTTCTTTCCTCTGGTTTGTGGCAAGTCTTAACAGGGTGAACGTACTTTGGATTTGTCATTCCCCTTCTCTCTCTCTGTCCGTCTGAATCATATGTAAGATTGGCGGTCAGGAAAAAGGGGGAGGTTACGGAAGCGGACAAGAGAGTCCCGATGCCTTGTCATTGTGGGAATTCAGGCCAAACGTGTCTCCCCCTGTTTCCAAGTAACAGGCGACACTGTTCCATGTGTCACATACTGATGTCCACAACTGGGAAACCCTGTGGAGTTACAGCCCTCACAATATTACTTCAAATCAATATCACTGCAACTGCACTAGTCTGTAACTTTGTCAAGCACTGAATATGAAATATCCTTCCTGATGCACTCTTAACTCCTAACCATTTCTCTCAGTGTGCCTTAGAGAATAACATGGATCTTGAGAACACTTCAAATCTAAAGTATGCTTACTGAACAACTAACAGTATATATACTGTAGACTTCACAATGAACATGTTTATTTGCTAGTACCTGTTAGTGTACCTATAGGAGAAGGCTACTCATATAGAGTTAAAGGGTAACCCTAGATGAAGCCTAACAAAATCATAGTGAAAGAACTGTGCCATCTTTTTTATTCTTTATTTAATATATACAGTACTACAGGAAAAATATCAGTTTAGAAGAAAAAATGACGATACGCATCTGTTGCATAATCTTACTGCAGGCATTCTCGAACAAGAAGATCAGGCTATTCAAAAGAGTTTAGTAAATCTAAAACATATTGGGTAGCGCTCAAGATTTTTAGACTAGCATGGAAAGATGTCATTTGACAAGCGAATGGAAACAATGGAAATGAAATGCTGATGATCCCCGTCAAACAAATTGCTCCGTCATGCCTCATAGACTCTACTACCGGCCCTCATATTTGGCTCAAAAGTTGCAGCCAAGAATTCAGAAATTGAATCTTTTCATCCTCCAAGGAAGTCCATATTCCAACACTATTAGCATCAGATATTGACAGGTCAAAGACTTGGACCGAGTTGGTATTTTTATGTCTCTACAACTTGCAGTATGCAGTCTGGTTACGTCGACATGCATGTGGCCCTTTATTAATGCCTCTTAGATGATCTGGTGCGATCATCTTTTTCAGACTCCAATCTCATAGGACTTCCTCTATTCATCATGTATAGTATCATTCTATTTTTAAAGACTAAAGCAACAACTTCCAATCCTTACTTAAAGAGTTCTCTATATTGGGTTTGAAGGAAGAACTATACTCTCGTTCATATCAGCTCTGTTCATGCTGCATATTTCTATATTAAGTAAAACTGGGAATTGTCATCGTGATATTTTGTGAAAGCTTACAACAAAATACAGCCTATTCTTGGAGATAGTACAAACCTAAAAATAAAACAACTTTGGCGCACGACTAACATATTAGGGTTTCAATCGAGAGGGTGATTTGTTGAAGCAAGCACACACAATTGTGCATTTTACAAAGAGTCAACACGCCTCTGAACAGACACTATCTAAAAGGTGTTCAAAATATGCTCCAGCAAAGATTGCCCTAAATTCACTTCCCTACATGAAATAAAACCTCAGTCTTCAACTCTGAACCCAACACTATGCCTTACCCTAACCCCCCCCCCCCCAAAAAAAAAAAATAATAATAATAATAAAAAAATAAAAAAATAAAAAACCTAACCTAAAACCCCATTGCAAACTTGTTCGCAGGCACAAACCGTTGTCAGTTGTAACGCATCGTAGAGGCCGAGCTACTGTAGGAGACTTTATGGAGACTGCAGTCCGGATGCACTTTACCTTAGCTACTCTTGACACGACCAGTCTGGCTCAGCTCAAGACTTCAAGGAATTGTGTACAAGTATCACATTAGAATATGCTTACACACTAATTGCAACACTAACCCTAACCCTAACCCTAAGCATACACCTTTGACAAAATAAAGCCCAGAGCAGTTGTCACTCGAGCACATGTTTGGTATTAAACCTCTGGAAAGCTTACCTAGTTGGTCCCAGAGTTGTCTGTGTTTGTCTGTCATTGGTGTCCCTTGTTGCCTCCATAGTTGTAACCTAGGATCCACCATGAACTGTTCTGTGATTAACGTCAACATACGTGCTCCGTTGGAGTCTCGAACCCGTAACATTTCTCGTACCTATTCGGGAAAAGATTGAATGAAACCCAAATGAAGCTCAACCAATAAAACCATCAATATCTTTCACCTTATAAACAAGTGTGCTCAGTTAAAGTATAAAGAACTATTTTACAGATAATTTGATTAAATATAGAAAAGTCATAAATTGTACGACACCCCTTTCTTCATCTACCACAACCTCCTTGTAAGACTCTCCATGAGGACAAGGATAAAGATGACATCTTCAACAAAAGAATCGTTTTCTTATACCCCCAGTAACTTTGAAGATCATTCCAAACAAAAAGTGGCCAAAAATCCTGAATATCTTCCATGCAGTTTCTCTATGAGAAATTTTGTTTAAAAGGGGATCATGGGGGACCAATGGTCACCGATTAGGCATTGTTTGCTACATAGAGGGCGCAAGTAGCTATAAGTAGTGAATTTGGGCGTTAAACTTGTTGAAATTTCTCACCTTGGCAAATAATGAGTTAAGTTGTTTCCCCGAGTCATAGTAGCTTCCCTGCTGAAGATAGAGTTTGACCTGCTCTTGGACTTGCTCTTCGTCGAGATGCCAGCAGCTATCGTCATCTATACTGGCTCCAGCTGTCGGGTCAGGTGCACCTGGGGCAAGCACAAAGATGCAACATTGATGTCAAGTCTTAGATTGGGCAAATGTTATAGAAAATTCAACTTTCTGATAGGGAAATGATAAATGATAAATGAAACTCTTGAAACTGTTCACAGATAATGCATTTTGTATAGATAATAAACACTAGACTTTCAGATAAGGGAATAGCAATTGTATCACAATTCACAATTGAAACCAACTATACAACTGTAAATGTAACTCGATCACTTCTTATACCAATAAGTCAAAACACTTAAAACTAGAGACAGTACATAAAGCATATTTTATTACAAACAAACTGAGGACTTGTCGATTGGGCTACATGAAATGTTTGTATCGGAATTGAAACCTAGATCAAGCAACTCATACACTAGACACACTGAATTCATATTTCTGCGGTTTCATGACGTGAGTAGTCTGGAAAGGACTGTTGAGTTTGAAAAAAGAAAAAGAGAGAAAAGGGTATTCTTTTGGTTTCGTCCTAACGGTGTACAACTTGGTATGGTATGAATAGAGGCAGAGAAATTATGAGAGGATTTCTTTTGTGAGAGGAGTCCTGAGAAGGAATGGTGAACCTGGTTATGAATGTGAAGAGATATTGAGGCTCAACGTTCCATACGGGTCGACTGTTCATCATGAGGAGTGAATAGGTGACCCTAAAAACAGTGGGGTAAAATTTCACCCATTACTGGCCAAAAGGGAGCATATATGTGCACTGGATAATATTTTACATAATATTTGGTAAAATGTACATAAAGGTGTGTAAATTCATCAAATATTGAATAATAATGTACCCCTTAAATATGAATGCTTCCTTATACAAAATATTGGGTAAAATTTACTAACTTTTCTTACAGTAAATGCATACTAATAACTGAATTTCAAGGAAGCACACAATGGCCCGATTTCACAATGGAGGTTTAGATTTAAACCATGGTGTAAACCCTCAGATGTACATAACCCATGGTTTAAAATAAGCATGACACAAGTCAGGTGTCCAATATTAGACGTGCACACGGGAAGGTATGCTTATTATGCGCTAATTTTTAAACCATGGGTTGAATCTAAACCTCCTTCGTGAATTCGGGACAATGTGTATTCGGAAGGAAATAATATGCATCCATGCATACCAGTTCACTTTTGCACTCAACAACAGAATGCATAATACCATACAGGTATTGGTATTGCACGTATTTACTCAATTTTTATTGTTGGAAAAAAAAGATAATTTAATCATGCATTCCTTAACTGGGTATATCAACATACCGCTCATATATTCATTGTTGTATCCACCCTGCTCTAAATAAGGAGTGAAAAGAGAGAATTGCGGCAAAGTCGAAGAGGATCAATGAAGAAAATGAGAGGAAGGTGCATGGAGAAAGCCAAGGTAGCCTTGCTCTATTCAGTCCTCCGCGCTATTCATCCTCCCCAAGATCAATGAACGAACATGCAACACGGAACAGCTTTCTCTGTCCCTCTCTCTCTCTCTCTCTCTCCCTCTCTCTTTCTCTACCCAACATCCAAACAAAGTGAGCCTGAACTGGGTCACTCGTTTCTACATTCTCATTCTGTCCACGTTTTTTCCGTTCCAGTTCTAGTTCTATAAGCAGCACAATGGTCAGCATAGGTGAAGGATTTTTTTCTTCAGAAATACCTGTAAAAAAAAAAATCTTATTAGAAGGCACAAGACAGGGAGCTGTTGTTTTTTGTTTGAAATGCCATGATATGGCCATTGACCTAGGCAGAAGAATATCCAGGATTTCAGCTTTCATTTCTATATTTTTATTTGCTCACAGTAAAAGTGAGACAGGAAGGAAGGGGAGATCGAGTGTCGGTAAAGGGTCAATCAATGAGGAACAGGAAGGGGATGAGGTCTTCCGAGAAACAGTGATTTATTCCAGGAAAAGATGGGATTGGTCGCAATTTACCCCTTTTAATTCCTTTCAATGGCAAAATGCATGGGGAACTTCAGGCTAAACTAAAATGTGAATGAATGGTTTTTAGAAATATTGTTATCAAGCTACAGGGACATGTGAAAAAAAATTCCCCTCCACTGAGTACTGGTTACATTAAAAGATCGGCAATTCCATTTAACAGTTTATTTGACAATTTATTTCAGGCTACAAAAGTGAAATAAACAAATTTAAGTACATGATCCCACCAAACCAACATTAATTCTGCCCATATTTAGAATCGCTGGAATTAAATAATTCCCTGGCACTCTGTCAATTCTCATATAGTCAATAATAACTATAAATAGTCCCCCTGTAGGTGACCTACATTAGTTCAAATGCGTTCCAGTACATGTCACCAAATGCGTATATATTTAGATCTGGTGAGAGGCATGACTGAAAAAGAGTTTAGATCAGGGTATGACAAAATCAATCTCCTGACTGTACGCAACCTTTCAGGTATCAACACGCTACACCTGTGATTCTCTGAACAGTGGCTTAGATCGACCTTGTCGTTTTCTGTATCACCCAGAGAAGATGGGAACTGAAAACTGAAAGCCGCCCCGCCAGAAAGCAGGGAAAGTCAATTTTTTTACACCGAGCTTCCTCGTTGTCATCGGAACAGTAGAGCTTCTGTGAGCACGCCAGCTGATCGAGCCATTTCCAGCAATTTCCTGCAGATTTGGGGGATCTTCCGTGGGCCCTTTTACCCCTTCTCCTGTTGGATGCATCCCGGTGATGTTACAACACACTGCTCTAACCGCAAAAACATACAGGGGTGCTTTGTAGATCAAGGTCTTGTAAGGGAAACGGGAGTGGTAATACTGATGTATCCACCTTTATATGGGTTATACATGTATATGGACTACTTACACTAGTTCCTCATAAGCTTGTGGAAAAATTGGGAAAGAAAATATACAATGCATGTAGCTTTTTCTATGAATCTTATATGCTAGGCCTTCGTGATATGGTTCACATCCGTGAGCACTGGTTTGATTATTTTAAAGTATCAGATGTTTCCGAGTCTTTGGTTTCAATGGGAGAATATGCCGGAGTCTATCTCTAATCTCCAATTGTCTGTTGTCGCAAATGAAACTTAGCCACTTAACTGTCGTCTCTTTTTCAGCCAAACAGGAACGTTGTTTGTTGATTTGAAGAGAGGAAATAGAGGGTAGAAAGCGATCTTGGTCAGGAAGTTTCCAGACACCAAGTTGTTTCTCTTTCTGATACTTCCTACTTTACCTTCCCAGTCCAAATACAACCACAGACAAAGACACCTAACTCTGCCATGGAAGCTATGCCATGATATCAGTATAAACAGAAGCTTTTAAGTTACCTGCAAGCTGGTTGATTTCTGACTTTGACTGCAAGATCTCGTCTGCGAGTTTCTGTGCCGTTGGCAGGACATTTGTGTGATGTGCGGCAATGAGGTACTGAGCAAATTTCTGGAGTTGTTCCCGATCCATCTGAAGTAACGTCTCGGAGATGGGCAAGCGCAGCTGGACTTCCCGCGCCCGCCGTATTCTGTGAAGTGAGAGCGCCACCACATGTTGGCACCAGAAGATGTCGCGGTTGCCGCAGGTGCACGTTACCGCCGTGATCTTGCAGCGATCAAAGCTTATCGATACCCGATGCTTTTGCTCTGGCTCGTAGAGTTGACCGCTGGGTTCACTGACCGTACCGCTCAGATGGAAGCCTGAGGTGGAAAAATAAGAACAGAATTGATAGAATCATGATCATGATTTGGATACACTAACACAATTTCTATTGAATTAGAGGTGTTAAGTATCATGCAAAAGGAGACAATTCCTCTGCAAAAACAACACAAAACCATATATCCTGCAATGCTTAATGGATTACATATGAAAAATATATGCCAGTAGAGCCAAGAAAGAAAGAAAAATAAGCAACATCCAAAATTATGAATTTGACCAACATTTTATGCCAAATGACACAAATCATTAAACATTAGATATGTCTATATATATTATCTTTTGATATAAAAAATAGGCCTAGTATAAAATATTCAACTGAAACAAATTCTGGAACAAATCCATACTGGCATCCATTCAATAATTCATTTTTACACTGATAAAGCAAATGCCCAATGGCATTGTCCGTTTGATCCTGAAGATCTCTCTGGCACATAATATATGGCATAAGGTAATAATTGAGGGTCTCTGTGAGTTTATATAGCGCCTCGCAACCTCATTATGGTCACCATGGAAACCTATAAATTTGGAGATCTACTGTAACCAGCCTTCTTGCAAAACTAATATTTAGAAGATAAACTGCAATTGTTGCTTTGATTATATGTTTTGTTTAGGAATGGACAAATTTAAAGAAAGACGTGATATTGATCTCATTGTGGCTCAAAGAGGCATTTGAAACAAGAGCAATGGTTTTGATTACTGTGAATAACAGACTTGATTTATATTTCCAATACCCTGTATTCTATTTTTATCATTTTATTCTGTCTCTTCATTCCCTTCTCATGCCATCCTCTTCTCTCTCGCTCTCTCCCTCCCCCTCTCCCTCTCTCTCTCTCTCTCTCTTTCTATCTCTCTCTCTCTCTCTCTCTCTCTCTCAACAATGTATATCTCAACAAAACTCCAATGACAAATTACTTTAATTAAGTCATTTAGGACTACTTTACAATCAAGGGGACTGTACGAGGCTGATCTGCATTACATGATTTATAAATCTACGAGTAGCCAACTTCATTTATTATACGTTTGGCTGGGGAATGATTTACTATTTTCATATTTTCTTGGTATAAGTATTCTCCTGCGGACAATAACTCAGCCGGGGGACGGCGAAAAGCTTGATTTACTACAGCTGTAGCTTGGGGCCATGGAGTTATTTGTGATCGTTGAATTTTCATCAAATCACTTAGCATGAATAATCATCCGACATACAAAGCATATGTTTTATTACACCGGTAATTATTCTTTTCTTCTGTTGACAAATCTATTCAAAGATCAAAGTGAAGGAGTGGATGGAGGGGGGGGGGGGGGGTACCAATGAACAAACAATATTACTTGTAATCTGAGAGCATACTGCACAAAACAACCTGCATTAAACAGACAGAATGAGCCAATGAAGAGAGATTATCATGTCATGTTCGTGAAAGCCAAAGAAGAGCAACTGCAGTTCTTAACATTGATTTGAATAGTGCAAATAGAGCATGATCAACTAATCGCTTCTATAAGAAACTCAATCCAAACTGGATCAACTATAAAACCACTTTAACAACAAGTCTCAGGCTTTGTAACCCCCACCCTACCCTCAAGTTCATTCACTGTGGTGCATGATCGCTTGGTGAAAATTTAACGACCTGCCCTTTTTAAAAAAAGTTCCATTACTGACATGAAATATTACTCAACGTATTTGAATCATCAGCACGCCTAAGCTACATGTTCTGAAGCTCTGGCATGTCACCTAATCCACAACAGGTACTGCGATACACCGTAAGACACGCCCCGCTTCCCTTTCCCAGTCTCAAGTTCCCCTAGCTGGCCCAGAGTCTAAGCCAAGAACCTAGGCCGGCTGGCCTGCATATATGTGCAGGGCTCAAGCCAAGCTGTAGCCAAGGTGATGCCGAGAAAACCCAAGCAGGCGAGATCTGAAATCTGGCAGGGCCCTTTGACAAGCTACACCATCCATGGTTACACCCAGTAGACTAAGGTTCAGGGTTTACACCGAGATGATGGAAGGTGTCATTCACACTAAAAAGATTGTACACAGAACAGTCACACTAGAAACAAAACTTGGATAAAGAGAAAATCACATTCACAGAAAATAGCACACTAGAAATATGGAAAGAATGAATGCATTGTCGCAATATGATTTAATAGTAAATAGCCATTCATACTAGAATATACATTTATACTCGGAAGATAGAAATTAAGACATTCATACTAGAAAGATAGATTTAAGAAACAGCCCATTCACATAGCAAAGATAATTTTTAAAAACATGACATTCACACCAGAAAAAAGGCAAAGGCAGATGCAATCTTCTCAAGGATCATGTCAGACAACTGCCCGTACTAAAAGGCTTTGGTTGTAATGATCCTAAACAGTTGTTATATCATATGCTTCTCTTATGTGAACACAAAATTGTGATTAATAAAAATATGATAGCCAGTATGACCGAACTGAACAGAATATCTTCTTGCATGTACAGAAAATATTACAAGAGATTAGATTTCTCACGCAGGAATAAGGCCGTGCAAAAACAGTTTAGAAGGGAAATGAGAATTTGAGAGTGGTTAAGAGGACTAAAGATCTACAGTTAAGATTGGGAGGAAAGTCAGTGCCTTGCACTTTTCTTCAATGTTACTTTTAGAGAAAGCTTACTCGCAACCCAAGGTTTTGAAAGAGAAGAGATTAACAGAGGGGGAAAACTCATTGCTAATCTTGCCCTCCGAACCAGATTAGTAATAGAACGCATTTAAGAGTTTCACCCTGCTAGTGTATGCTTTCAGCTGGTCTCGTGTTTTAAGACAGCTTAGTAATTCTATCACGCCACATGCCTACAGTCACACAGATTTACGCACCATCTCACGCAATATCCCATCATGCAGTGGAAAGGAGTACCAAAAGGGGGATGAAAAGAGAAACGATGCAATAAAATGGAGGCCAGATGGACAGATGGACATTTTTATTGGATCCTATTTGAACCCGTGCTTGCAGCAGATATAAATAAATTAATCAGGCTACTGGGTGGATCGAATTTTAAATGCATTTAAAACTTTCTTCAAATCCTTACAATGACACAGAAAAGGGCAATGTCACAGTTTTGTTTAATTTGGTGAAACTATACTCCTAATATTCATGACTATTGGGAGAAGTGCAAGTATGATACAGTTGTATTTCCTCCCATACCGATAGTTTATAAAGAGGTCAACAACAAAGAAATGGCAGACTCTGAGGCTGCACAACCAGATTCCTGTAGAACACGAGACGGATTGTGAGACGGTACTGGCGAGAGCATGAACTCGGATGAAAGCAATACAGAGACGTTAAAATGCAAGGCAGTATCGCCCTCGAGAGAAAATCGAAAGTGCAGCACGAGAGAGCCACTTGCCGGGGCAGGGGGAAGATTGGCCAGCGAGGCTGCTCCCAGACCCCGATGTTAATGCGGCCGCTCGCGTCTCTCAAGTGCCCTCCTGCACATGCGGCCTGCCGATCTGCTTTCCGAGGTACTCGGACGCCCGAATCAATACCGTGGAGATGGACTCCTCTCCTCGCTGATGGCCGGCAGAGGGAACTAACTAACATGCAAGGGCATGTAGCGGAGATGGGCTTTTCAACAAGCAGGTCTAGATCGGGCTACACCCTCTAGGTCCGTCGCCTGATCAGGTTTCTGGGAAGGACGGACATGAGAGGGGAGAGCCTTTCGCCCACACTCTCAGATGGACAGGCAAAGAAAGGAGTCTTTGCTAAGAGGACGTCAAACACAGCACTTCTGAGTCAGTTTCCTATCAAAGTCCTTTCTAATTGCATTCCTACTTATTCATGCAGCCACGACTGGACATCCTCGATCCGAATATTCAAATAATGGGTCTGTTCCATCGCATATGGTATTCAAACAATATTTGAGGAGGGGACTTAAGGCAATACTCCATAGGCCTCATGCAAATCAAGCTCTTTGCATAACCAAGGATCTCATATTGGGAATATTGCCATGACAACCACATATTCATAATTTTTACAGGAAGAAGAATTCTTGAGGTCACACGGGGGACATAGGAATACAAACAAAAGGATAAGCTGGTGATATACAAGTATATGCTATTCAATCATATAGTAGATGCAAAAATACAGCAAGAAACTCTGAAAGATCAGAAAGATGGAGACAGAAATGAAGAAAGAATCTTTAACCTTTTCTCTAGCAATCATACATACATTGTATTGTTAAAAAAAAATTGTCATATTTAATGCATTAATTTCATCATGAACTACTAATACAAACATGTTTGAACATGACATAGCTTTTGCAGTATATGGCTCGAATCTCTCTACACCAATATTAAAAACTTTAAAATACTTTATTTGATTACAAAAAATATATAAATGGCATAATGATATGGATAAAGATCATTATCAATCTGTCATGGTCTTAATCTTATGAACCCCTCAAATATATGCATACATACATGTAATACCGTGTAATACCATGTCAATGATATGGAATGGGTAAAATGATAAACAATTTGAAAAAGCAATGTAAAATTTGAAGAAAAAACTATATAGCATGATTTGTCTGGAAAATAGTTTTTCTCAGAGTCTGTATAATTTATTGACCTTTTTAGAATCATTTTACCTTAGTAATCGCACACTTAAACCTCATAAAACAATCCATGAAAACATTCATATACTTAAAGTTCGTCACATCACATGACTAGTGACAAACTTGAAAAAGATCTACTTCTAAACCACACAAAAACACACAGCGCACATTCACAACCAGTCAGACAATCCCTTACAACCTTGGAAAGAGTCTAACTCTACTTTAAACAATATTGAGGCTAATATGTTGACAGTTAAATAGAATTATTTCCTTACATTGATTAGAAAGTAATCAGTGCATGGTATCAATGTACATTCAGACTCTTTATTATTATCGCTTATACTTGTATTGCTCTATAAAGCTTCAACCTAATTTTCACTGAACCGTCGATACCATCACAACAAAAATAGAATATGTATGTAGAAAGCAAGTA